CAAATTATGCCTGTTTATTCTGTGCTTCATGCAATTTTGAAGTGGGATTTTCTTCTTTTAAAAGCACTAAATATTTTCTGACTTTTTTTAAACTTAGCAATTGCCCTTCCCTTGTTCCTGGTTTGGTTTCTCATTAGCACATACTTGTGTGTCCAGGCAGATGCACACCCACAAGCACATGTACATGCATATATGTGTGTGTGCATGAAACAGAGTACATTGGTCCAGATTATCTTTCATTATCATCTCAAAGAATGGTCCAGAAGGCTGCCCATCTGCTTTTCCATGCTAAAGCACACAAGGAGAAAGAGAAAAAAAAAAAATAAAAAAATAAAAAGAGGGTAAGAAAGAGAGGAAGGCTTGTAACTGGTCTCTGTGCCCTTTGCATAGACTATTGGCTGAAAGATGTCCCACTGGCCCTGGAACATTTTATACTGTTGCCTTCCTTGACATCAAGCTTCGTATTCAATCCATTTCGATCTTTTCCCCTCATCACTAATAGAAGGATTCTCAAAATTTTTAATTATTTCAGTGTTTATGGGTAAGAAAGAGAGGAAGGCTTGTAACTGGTCTCTGTGCCCTTTGCATAGACTATTGGCTGAAAGATGTCCCACTGGCCCTGGAACATTTTATACTGTTGCCTTCCTTGACATCAAGCTTCGTATTCAATCCATTTCGATCTTTTCCCCTCATCACTAATAGAAGGATTCTCAAAATTTTTAATTATTTCAGTGTTTATACTTGCAAGTTTCTTTTTTTTTCTTGTTCCCATATTATTCTTTAGCCTAAATTGCTAATCCCCATCTTTTCTATTGTCCTGTGCCATGACAAGCATGCAGACAGCAACTGTCTGTGTTTTCCTGAGCTGAACAAACCAAACACGTTTAGTTTACTGTGGGAAGAGACTCTATACTCCCACATAATATTAATATTTTTCCTCTGTTCCCTCTCAGAATGAATTAATTCTAGAGCATGTACATGATCATAGATGGAGGGCTCACTAGTTCTTGGTAGAACAATGCCCACAAAGCCAGCAATTCCCTCTATTTACTGGAAATGCCTTGGCTACTATATCTTTTTGGTTTGTTTTTTTTCCTTTCTCACAGCTATGTCACACACAATTATCCTAAAATTGACTAATGCATCTAGCACTTTCTTCCCCTCTTACTCCCAGGTTAGAGTGGAGATTTGTGGTGCCCATTCCTCACACTTTACAATTCTTCTTTTGATTATCCATTTTCTGTGTGGCACTGATAACTTGCTCTAGTGAAGCCCAATTAGAAAAGATTTGCTCTTCGATAGCAGTTTTGTCAGTCAAAGGCAGAGATCTGATTAGTCTGGCACAATCTACTTTTGGCGAATCTATTTTATATTTTGTCCTGTGCACCAGCAGCCTACCTTTTAATTTTTCTGTCCTTTTATAAAACCCTGCATACTGCTGAGGCTGCATCTTTTTTCTCCTCTTTCCTTAGTGAAGACACTGCTCTTCATTTCCTGCAGTAAAATTACTGTCCTCTAATTTTACAAGCTTATTAAAAATGCTGTCCATCAGGCTTCCAGTTTCATGAGCTAAACACACCACCCCAGAATGCCAAGTAACTGTTTGGTTTTGAGCCTCTATCTCATCTCCTGCATATTAAAAGATTGTTGGGGGTTTCTTTTCAGTCTTGCAGCTGTCTCAAATGGAGCAAATTTCACCCTGCACCTTTATTCCACTACTCATTTTCATCAATATACATGCTAGTTGTGATGAAGACTCAGGTAAGTCATTTATGAAACGCCTGAAATAATTTTTCTTCTCAGTACCCCTGGAGAGTGGCCCTCTTTTTTTCCTGTTCTCTATTTCAATTATAAGATTATACAGCCTTTATATTTGCTTTAGCTTCCTTTATAGACTCTAATACAACCTGACAAAGTGAGAATTGTGAAAAGCCCTCCTTCTCTCATAGTTCGCCTTCTTTGACATTCGGTGCATTTACACCCTCCAGCTCATTTTTCCAGAACAAAGAAGGGGTCAGATTTTTCCGCCAGCCACGTTCTTTGCATCCCACTTGTGAACAAGAGCAAATGTGATAATTGCTCCAGCATGGATGAAGAAGAAAGTCATGAAGCACAGTGAACAGAAACGTGGCTCAGGAGAACCTAGGCTAACCTGTGCCGGAGCACAGAGGCAGATCAGCCCTCCTGTAGATTATTCTCTCTTGGTACAACAAAGTTGCTCTTAAGTGCACGCTGAGGATCAGACGAGTTTTGCACTTGTAAGGGTTTTCACACAGAAATTTCCCACTTCCCTCAGCAATTAATTTTATTCCCACCCTGTCACCTTAACTTCCCACAGTATCACTGACTAGAAAAGCAGAAGAAAGTCTTGGTAAGCCCCAAGGAAGAGAATTCATAGCAGGTAAGGCACTGCAATGCAAAACAGACAACTCTGATCTTACGCAAGTCTTTTACTCAGTTTAAGAGACTGACAAATTGTCATGCAGTTAGAAAGCACTTTCCAGCTTTGTTTAGCTATGGAAGGAAGTATTCTAAATGCAGTCCTTCAATACTTTTGCTTGATCTCAAAACTTTATGATTACCAAGATTCCTCCAAATGAATGTTGTTTGTAAACATAACTGCCCTGGTTCCTGTGTAAGCAAGAGGAGATGATAAACTGAAAATACAGTGGCTAGTTTACAGCACTAAAAGAAAAGTTTCTTACAGTTCAAAACCTTGCAAAAAAAAAATAAAAATATTGTAAAGCTGCAGTAAGACCCACCCAAACAGACAGCAGCTCTGACTTCCCTGTTTTCTGAAGGACATTTTCCTCTACTTCTGTGTTGCTCCATCTTCTCCCACACAATCCACAGTGCCCCAAAGTAATTGATGTTGCACAGCAGAATATTGAGGACAGGCCTGCTCTTTTCTCACCCCTTGGAGGTACAATCTCCAAATCTCCAAAACTTCCCTGTCTCGGGAAGCAGGTTTTAATAGAAAGACTTGGAGCTGTCCTCCTCCCTGCTCTCAGACTCCTGGAGGCAGAAGACAAGTAGCCAGAGGGAGCCCTGGGGAAGATTTGCAACTTTTATCACCATTTTGGGGGTGGTGACATACTGTACTAGTAAAGAGGAATCCTAAAATTAGAACCATCATGAAATGTTGCAGGCCTCTAACAAAGAGATTTCATTCAAGACTCCACTACAGCCCATTCGTATCCCAGACCAGTGCCTCTGGGTAGAGCAGTTCCCTGAGGCAGGGTGAGAGGGAAGCAAGCCACACTCTTACCCTTCAAATACTAAGCTGAATCTCTGCATCTTTAGCCCCAAAATTCACACTTCTGGAATCCAATTTCCTTAAAGACCTAGGCAGTCTTCAAAACCACAGCTACTTTGTACAGTATTAGACAGATCAGTGTTCACAGATCAGACACATTCTTGCCAAAATGCCATTTATTGCAGTATACCTTTACATGGCATACAGATAACCGAATGTTGCATCTTCTGTTAGAACTCATATTTCATTTGTACCACTTAAATAACACAGAATGTCATGTTTGTTTAACAAACTGTCAGTTAAGACTACCAAAATATACAGTTTTTTTCTTTCCCCCTAGCAAGGTTGTGAGGTACAACTGAAGTTTCCTACTTTATCTTCCTGTGCTTTACAAGAACCTTTTCATAGATAGACCTATCAAACAACATTTCTAAATTCCTATACAAAGCAAAGAATTACAGCTGAAATTAACACCATCTGGTCATTGCATTAATCTATAAAAATTCATTCAGTTAAAAAAAAAACAAAACAAAAAACCCAACAAAACAAAACAAAAAAACCATAAAGGTCGTTGCAGCTTTACTTAAAAACAGCCAGCTACACATACGCACAAGTTCTCGTGCATAAAGAAGTTTGGAATCAAGAAGTTTTGGGTTCTTTTCTTATGTTTGCAGAGAAGGCACCAATTTTAGCTGCATAGCAGCTCAGGAGTGTTTTATACTTCATTGAAATTACACAGGTTTTAAAGTTTGACTGTTAATGTGCAACATTTTAACCAACTGTTGCAATATTCTCCAATATTCTCCGATCATTCCCTCTTGGCTCAACAGTACAAATATTTACATCTGTTGTAAACACTCCTCCACCCACCCCATACCTTCTGCACTGAGCGACAAGGAACTGAACTGGCAAGAAGCTACCCAAAGGCAGAGCAGAAGTAAGGCTTGTGCAGAACACCACACTTGTCTCCTCACTCGATTGGAGATACTCTGGAGAACTGCAGACCTTCAGCAAGGTCTCAGTGCCTCCATGTGACAGCACACTGACCACACACAGCTTCAGGCATCCAGACTTTTCTCAGGAGGTGCTTTTTGGCCCTTACTAGTCTGACATCCCTGGAGTTGCTTCTCTCCAAAGTGCAGGAACAGCTTCTGAGGAGCCATTCCGGAGTAGTGAGAGTCAAGCACACCAACTGTTGTATCTATTTAAGGCCATCTACACTTAGCCTTCACCAGGCTCATTTCAGATGCTTCTCTACTCCTCAGCCACAAAGTCATGATGTGCTGCTTTCTGCCTCCCACCCCTGTGAGCCACAGCATTCCGTGGCACAGACGGCAGACCACGTTCTGAGACAACCACTGTAAACAGTGCACAGAGAGGTAGGTGCTACAACACGCCATCGATCACCTGGCGACGACACAGTAGTGTGGGGTAAGATTATTTACAGCATGACAGCCCAGCCTCGATTTGGCACCTAAGAAAGGGAATGTCTGAGATGAGACTGCTTAGCAAAATCTACTTCTTACCTAAGACCTGAAAAAACAAGAGGGTAGTGGGACAGTCCAACACTATTGGAAAAATTAACTCTCCACTTAATTTTGGGGGCTTTGGCATTTATTTTTTATTAGTGTATGTACCAACTGCTTAGGAACTGGTTCTGAGTATGGGATAATGCTTCCAAAATACAAGTTATTTTAAACCACGTGACAGTCATTTGTTTACCCTGCCCCTCACACCTCCTTTCACTAGAAGTCATGTTCAGCTTGATGTTTCGTAGGCATTAAGTGCTCCAAATACAGCAATCAGAAAGAGCTAGAGGATTGCAGTGTACCAAGTGTCTGCCCAGCACAGCCACTTGTGACACTCAAAACACATCTATGAGTTAAATAGGAAGGATCCCTGCTGTACAGAATTCAAGCACTGAAAATTGTTTATTCTTGCTAGCCCTTTCCCTAAATATCAAGAGTTTTATACATACAGTGCTCCCTTATCTTCTTCCCACTGCCTGTCCCAGCAGTCTTTAGATAAACCAAAGTGAGTTTAGGAACTGGCAGTCCCACTTCTGTTTAAAAATTAAAAATAAAAAAAGTTGTGCAAGAAAGCAGGGAATGTCCAATGAATCCAGATCTACTTTGTAGTTACAAAATTTCCAATGGCAAAGTGGTAAGGGCAAATAACCCAATGATCATATGGCTTAAATTTAATGCAAAGCACACTAGAAGGTCCACGTGCAGGGAGAGAAGAGTCCAAGAAAGATGGAATAAGAAGTGTCCTGAAGTTCAGTGTTTATGCATAGAATTCTTCTTGTTTGTGTGGTTTTTGGTACCCTCCGTTAGACTGTTTTGGTTCATCCAGTGAATAGCTGCCTTCATCTTTTTTCTTCATTCTGTACAGCATAAACGCAACTAGAAACACTGCAAACACCAAGCCTACTAGTCCTCCAGCAATAACACCTAGATAGGGAGAAAAAGACACAAATTACTCTAGATGCTACACCAGATAATGCCACTATGATTTCAAGTTCCAGATTGTTGATGCCTTACTATGCAGCCCCTGACTTAATGACCTCCAGAAATTAATGTGTCCTCCTGCCTCCTCCCAAACCAGACATCCTGCCATTACCAAGCCCCTGCTCACCTACACAAGGCAATCCTAAAGACACAGATCTCCCCCTGGCCATGCTGCAAAGCACACAAAGCTACAGTGTTCAACTCTAGTAATTTGACCTAGGCAGCCATAGAGCAATTTTACTGTCATTTTTGCGAGAAATGAAGGAATAGGTTTAAACACAAAGTTGCAGATGAAGCAGCTACTGGTAGCTGCTATTAGCAGACTAATATTTGCCCCTGTTTTGACAACACAGAATCATGAATCACCGCCCTCATTTCAGAGGTCTAAGGCAAAAGGTTGGTTTCCATGCTCAGAGATGTACTTGCAGAATTGCTGCTTCTGCTGCCTGAAGACTCCTATGGGAATCAGCTTTTACCAACTAGAAATCCAGAATATCAGGTACCTCCAAGAACTTCTTTTCTGTCCATAATTCCCGAGGCTCCTGCTGCTTTGGCATTCCTCCCAGAGTCAGCTGGTACTTCCGAGTTCTGGGTGGGGACCAAATCTTCATCTTTCGTCAAGAATAAGTCTCCCTGTTGGGACATACAAGGCAGGTTATTCATGTTTCTCATCATGTCTGTTACTGGAGACTTTCCACAGCTTTGTTTTTCAGCCATCTAAAACCCTCCACCAATTTAATCTATTAAATCAATTATTGTTTTTGACAAATTACCACCCCTTCCTGCCAAACCAACATGCTACATACTACTAAAGCCATCTCCATAGAAAAGGTGTCAAAACTATTAGTCCTCACCGGGTCTCCAGAGCCATCTTCAGAAACTTCCTCATGTGTAGGAATGATGTCCTTTGGAGCTGTCGTTGTGGAGGTGTCAGTGATATCTCCCTCATGATGGACAGTAGAGTGGGGCTCAGGCATGTCTTTCGTGTCTGGCACATCAGAGCTAGGGATTTTAGGTTCAAGCTCATGGACCACACCTGAGGCTTCTGAAGGAGTTACATGAACCACTGAAGGAAAATGAGTAGTGGGGCTTCTCACTGTTGTTGTGACCAAAGAACTTGTTGGTTTCCCATCAGATGAGCCTGAAATGGGTACTTCATCCTTCACAGCTACAACTGGTTCCTCTGTCACTAGATTACTAGTTGCAGAAGGAGATACTACTTCTTTTTCAGTTCGGCTCTCAATCCCAGGAAATGGCTGTTTGTTGAAATCCACTGGTGCTGCCAGTACTGAGGAATTAGTTGGTTCTTCTGGGATTCTCCAGGTGTGAGACTGGTCAGTCATGGGACCTGCAAAACAAAAGAATATTATCCTTGGCCAGTTTAGAGACCTATTAATAGTATTTTCAGGACACCAGGCTAAGGAGGATGCCTAATCTGCATAGCCAATTTTCATAATAACAGCAATTCAGTTTGGAATTCCTTATCCTTTTCAGTAGACTAAGGAAGGGACAGACCAATGTGCTACTTAGCAATACTTCATTAGTCATCTGCTTCTCCCCAAGGCACAAGTGCCAGTCTGTTTGTGGTCAGGCCGACAAGGGGGATGTCTGCTTTCAGTACACTCGTTCCTCATGGTGGTTATCTGACTCTTTTCCCATAAACACTTTCATTTAATACAGAGCAGTCACACCTTTAGTCACTAGCACATTTAGGACTGATTTCAGGGTATCTCCTACCAGCTCAGAAAGGCCCCTCTTATGGTCCCTCTTCCTCACAAGTAAAGAATCAGTCCAGTTTCATAACATTCTTCACACAACATCTCACATTAGCAGTCACATAGAGTCTACTTGCTTCTGCTCCCTTTCAAGTCTCCTACAACTCTTTTTCTGCTAATTGTTAGTATCTCAAGCAATACAAGATTAATAGATTAGGCTCTTTGTCTGTTCCCAACTCCCATATTCTGGGGCAGGGGTGTGTGTGTGTGATTCCTCTCTCCACCCCCTTCACTTGGATGCTCACCAAGATCGATTGACACATTCTGGAAGGATCAAGCACTAACAGTACAAGTGCTAATAACTTACCTGCACCTGAACCTGAGAATGCATCATCTTCATCACCAGATGAATCGAGATCTTCAGGGGGAAGGTTCAGATTTGTAGTTTGCTTCAAAGAGAAGGGGAAAAAGGTGTGTCAGCAATGAGATTAAAGTTATTATGTTGCTCATGCTGAGTCCTCTAAGGGCTCCTGGAGGTTACACAAAGTTTTTTTGTTCAGATTGCATTTTTTCATCTTTTTTTATTTCAATCCCCTCCCCAGAAGAGTATCTCTGTCTAGTCTGTTCGGTGTTGGAAAGGTCAGTCTTGCTGTCTCCCTTCTTTGCACTGCTTCCAGGCTGCACTTGCTTTGGGACAGAAGCAAGCAGGAATCCATTCAGACCTGCATGCTGGTAGCAGGCGATGCCCAGTCCTTACACAACATAACCAGACAGTTTCAGGTGCTCAGTGTTCACATCTGTCTATCTACCAATCACTTCATCTGCAAATTACTGCCTTACTTCTAAGGAGCAGAAAGGGAGACAAAGTAGTTTGTCTTCTCTGCCTTTTTGAGCCCCTCCAACACTGCTCACATATTCAAAACTACAGCATCTAACTGGAAGTAGAATGAGAGTACCTTTTTATAAGTGTGAGCACTCAAACTAAGTCCAGAGCTATAAGTCAGTCTTCCCTGTGGGAGAATACAGCCCTGAGCTTTCTCCATTTATGCTCCAAGGAGTACACTAACCAGCATAGAAGTTCAGTTGCGGAAAAAAGAGGCCAAACCCTATTTCTGCAGCACTTGTTCGTCACAGCACACAATGTTCAAAGTTGTTCAGGATATCTAAAGAAGACAACACTAAATAGAGCAGGATGATTACTTCATGATTCTTGTTGGCCTGTGCTGTATTCCTGTCAGCACAATATGTCTCACGACTAGCCCCAGGTTTATTTCAGCAGGGCTACCATAACCTAACCAGTCATTCGCCCTTCTCAGGTTTCAAACCAAGGCCCTATAAGCCACTTCTGAATTTCATCTTTTCTCACCCAACTACATCCCCTGTTTGCCAAAATTTTGACTGTTATCCCATCGTCAAGATGTGCTTATCTTCTCTTTCCAGCACTGCCCCATCTGCAAGTTTAGATGCTGCATTGCATCATCCAAGCTGTGGGATCCTTTGTGTCCCAAGGAGTGGGAAAACGCATTTTATTACACAAAAAAACCCCATACTTTCTTGTCAGCTTTGCAATCAGGCCCACAGTACTTTTCTAGCTTGCATTAACACAATGTCACTTAAAAATTACTATAACACTCATCTTCATCCTAGCAAGAAGTTAGTCAGCACTAGTATGTGCCGGCAGAGCAATCCAGCTCTGTGGTTGCCACTGCATTACCGACATGGATGTGTTTACTGGCCCTATCTCCTTTCCATTCTTTTTAAGATATCAAGTTTATCCAGTTTTCTCTTCCATTCTTAATACATTATCCACTCCCCACATTTCCATAGAACAACTAGCTTCCAAGGTGGTTAACTAGCCCATTAGATTTGACCTCTCTTGAGATAAGTATGCAAGCTGTCACCAACCTAATCAGGACCAAGATCTTACTCCTTCCAGGCAATCATTGTAGTTAGATGTTTGGTTTTTTAAATAACAAGAAAGTAGAAACAAATAACACCACATATAGACATTAAACTTTTTAGCATTTGACTTCTCGACTGAAAATTAAACCTCAAAACACTATTCCTCAAGCTTCTGCAAGCGTATTTCTAGAGTAAATTGCCCTTCGATCTCTTGCTTAACTGCATGTCATGAGGTAATTTGGATTCTTAGATTTGTCCCTGCATGTTTGCACTGTGATTTTGCACTCTTCCGCAGAAAATAGGCCAGATAAGTACTTCCCGTGTGTTTTCCTTCTTGTGTTGAAGGGTGGTGACTCACACAAGCTGATCTCACTACACTTCAAATATTAAAGAGTACAAACTGTTGGTGCATAAAGAATAGAGAACGAACTGCCAGGCTTCCCAAACTCTGCTCTCTCACACGCCCTTCCCAGTACGTTCAGGAGCTCAGTCAGGCCTCAGGAATTGCACCATTTTGGCTGATGAGGGGTTGGGGACCATTTTTCTCCCTCACTTCTTGCATGCACAATAGCAAGCACAACCCTTTGTTCTCCCACTCAGCCGGGTTGCGTGCAAAAGAGGGAACACTTTGTAAACAGGAGGGGGATGGTGGTGTGTGCATTCTCCTCCCAGTGGGAGGACTCTACCATGAAGCAGTTAGAAAGCAATCTCTCCAGCTTTTTATTGAAGAAAGGAACGGCTAACACAGTTTAAGATATATCACCATACACCTATATCTAGGTTTGAGACTAACTTCCCTCCAAATCTGAATCTTCAGGGGGAGCTCATACAGGATTTCCAAGGACACTTGGTCAGACTGATGGTCTGCAGACCTTAACAGCCCTCCTGAAAAAATCACAGACTGTGAAGAAATAAAATAGCAACTTTTCATCTTGACTATTGATCCAGGACCCGTTCCCCTTGTGGGGTTACAGATGAGGCTTGTTCAGTCATGCCATGCTTCCTTTTTTGTTATCGAGCATGTCCACCCATCTTACCCTTCCCCTCACACCTGAGCCTCTTCCCAGGCTGCTGCATGTTCTGCTTCTCCAGAGCTTTTGTCATGTACTTGTTTGAATCCTAGTTTGATTTCTATATCTGAGCAGGGATAGATAGGTCTTCCTCAGAGGAAAAGAGTCCAGTGCAGCCCAGTCTAAACCAATGCTGTTCCAGTGCAGAGTTGTCCAGTGGCTGCTCAGCACCCACACTGCAAACATCAAGGCATACTCAGACCAGTTCCTGTCCCCTGAGGTTGACTACTGCACTTAAGAGAATAATAGAAAACATGAATCAGGATTAATCAAGTCTGCTTTCCACAGTTTTATAGGAGAACTTAGTGAAGCTTCACTACGTGTGCCATGCTTAGTTGTCCCAAAGACTCTTGTCCCAGGCTGCTCCTCTGGTCACTGTGGCTTCTCTCTTTGACCAGGCAGTTTAAGGCTTGGGATCTGAGAGGGACTTCTTTGCCCCAAACATTCAAGGGACAGTATAGGATTATGCACCTGTCGATACCAGTAAGAACACCCACAAATTGATGTAACTTCATGATATCATCCAATTTCATGACACAAGCATTAAGGAACATTTTCCCAATTTATGTAACTGTATGGTTATATAACAAGGGTACATTTCTTGCTCCATAGATTACAACTTCAATGGGCATGAAAGGCAGCAACCTTTCCTTATAGCACCACAAAACATAAGTGCTGCAGAAAGGTCATGCTTCTATAACGATCTGCTGCTGAAGGGTTTCAGACACAGCAAGGCTGACATAAAACACTGGCTCAGGACAGTTTCGGAAGGGATTGAACTAATTTGTGTTTGCATCAGGAAGACAGACCATGCTGTTCAAACAACAAGCACCTCATGGTCAAGGCTTTTCCATGACCTTTTATTGCAGCTGAGTTACACCAATGGGAAAGGTTTTGATTAACCAAGAGGATTAGGGGCACAGAACATAGGCTGAATCACCAGGCTGTGCTATTATACTAAAAGAGCTGACAAATTCTGTCTTAAAACAAGCTCACTCTACCAACAGCTTTGCATTACTTGAGCTCATAATTTTATTATCAGATTGTCTAATATAACCAGCTTACATGGAGATGTAATTAGAAATTACTTCCATCATCATCCAGTTTGTTTTTCAGTCCATCAAGACACTGACATTGTAATTGATGCCAGAGAGACTGGATGAACACATTTAAGTTCAGGCAGTGGATTTTTTTAAGGATCTCTGATGGATCTCATGTATTCTAGTCAGAAAAGTTTCAATTCTTATTGTCCACCTACAACATGTTGGTTTTTTACCATTTAACAAGCTTGTATGTTTTTGTTGGGGATTTTTTTCAGCAATTCAGACATCTGGTTAGAAATACTTGCCCAGAACTTTTGATCTGGTGTCACTGAATTCAGTTGCATTTGAGGGGTAAATTTTTTAACAGTATTTTTGATATGCATTAACCAGTTCTCATTAACTAATGGAAGATCCCCTTCCCCAAGGATCAAAGCAGTCTCTTTAGGGGAAACCCTGGGGTGACTATTTGCTTCTGCTCTTGCTGAGCAATGTATTGTTACAGAACAATAGTTATTCAGTTCTGCTGGGACAACCAGAAAGCTGCTTAGTGGCATCTTCAATTTAATCAACAATGGGCCAGGCTTTCACAACTCATTAGCAACATTATTGGCTCCAGAAGTCTGGCATACGCCAGAGTTTTGGGGTTTTTAAGCATCATTTTTAACTATTCTTCAGTCTTCATCTTGATCACAGTCTTAATACATGAATCTTTCTGCGCTCATCCCATCAGCTGCCACAGAGCTCCCTTCTGCTACAGCACAGATCTGAAGTACTCTCTCATGATGAAGGGGAGATTTGTAGTTTATTAGTTGATCTCACCCTGCCCAAACTGGGAAGCACAGTTATTTAATTTGGTGTATGCAAAAGGAAGCAGCTTTTTTTTTAAATTGCTCTTTGAGGTAAGCAAAAACACTGGCTTTGCCACAAGCTGCTACAAGCCCTAACCTAGACTAAGGATGATTTGTATCCCACTCTTATTAATCCTAGTTAGTGATCAGCAGTGTCAAAAACACTTGAAATCCTCCATTATCTGAATAAAGCTGTTAAATTTGCACATTTGTTTCTCCTAATAAATCCTTCTTACTCAGCTGAAAGGAATGAGCTGTAATGAACTCTCCCAACTCAAACACCTCCTAAGCACCCTACGAGATTTCTCCAACTTTATGGGAAGAAAAACCAATGATTTACTCTTGCTTAAGAGACATATAAGAGCAAGACACGCATTTGTTCTGTAGTCTGGCTACCAAATATGGCACTAGAGCATCTAAAAGAATACTTTCACAAGGATTTGAACAGTTCTAAAATAAACTTAGACAGAAAGATTTGTCTTTCACCTTTTCCTATATATTGAAGAGCAGAGCTAGCCTCACTAACAGAAATGCTGAGGCAGAGCAGCCTGAAGAGCTTCTAACCTCAAAAATAATATTGATACTA